CTTCGGTGCTTTTAATTAAAGCTGCCATCTAGGAACTAAAGCAATTTTATGCAATTAGTTATTTATAGGTTACCATAATACACCACTCAAAATATGATTCAAGTGATTTGCAGTCTGTTGCCTTGTGATCTTTGTCATCTTTACTTCCTTACTGTCTCAGCACTAGCTGCAAAATATTCAGTAGTTCTTTGTCAGCTGGAACATGACTTCAGTACTTGCACTTGAGTGTTGCTCTCTTTAGAGGCAGATTGGTAGACTTGAAGCAGTTTTTAACTACTAACTGTGAATGAAAATGTTCAGCTTCCAGCCTGAGACATGATGACTGGGGTCATCCTGCTGACATGAGTGAATAGAAAAGCAAATGGTTTATGAGTTCAGATGAATGTTGAATGAAATTTAGGAAAAACCTGCTGTCCAAAAAGTTTACATTCTACAGTTTTCCCATACTTTGGAAATCATAGGTAGCTCAGGCTACTGAAGAGAAAAATAACGCATGAAATTATATATTTTTTGCTGATTTTATGATGCATATATAACAATGACTTGAGACTGCAAACAACTTTGGCATGTCGATTTCTAGCTTCATATATTGCTAATGAAAAATCTCAGCCCATTCTACTTTCCTTTTTGAATTCTATGGGAAGGTTAAAAGGGTCTTAGGAATTTACAGAATAGCAAAGATTGCTGGAAAAATAGTATTAATCATTACCAAATGTATCTGTTGTCACAAAAGGCTATAATAAGAATTTGGTTGTGCATCCTACTGAAAATAAAAGGAATCTTCTAGCTGAACAGGAGCAGTCCTAAAAATGGGCTACTGCCATTTGGAAAGTGTAAAGGTTTAATCTAAGCAGCTGTTACAACTTTATTTACTCTAGAATGTATTGCTGAGGATGAGGAGCTACAAGACTGATTATTTCAGGATGCAAGCTACTAGGATGAACACATCTCCAAACCATGATTTTTTAAAGTAGTATTTCCTTAGTAAAGTAACTGCAAGCAAAACAGATAAAACTATACTGCTGAACCTATTTTTATATTATGCTTTCATTTGTGTTTCTATCTCATGGCCATTGTTCTGAGCAAAAAAGTTCTTTCCTACAGCTGTGGATAAAATACTTCTGTGCATGGGACTTAGAACTTACTCCAACCTTCTCTATTTCCCTGGTGCTTCGAGGTCACTGCATCTTCAGTGAGGTCACTGCACTGTATCCAAATACTCTGTACTCAGTGTGCAGTCAAATTTCTCAAAGCTCTGACATGACTTGCACAGACAGTGTGTGCATCTAGTTTGAGATGCTGGTCTGGACCCAGGAATGAAGAAACAGACATTGCATGACCTTAAATGTTTTCATCTTTAGATTTAGTCCTTGGGTTTAGAAAAGGTGTAAACCACTTCTGATGTTAAGGGTGGCATCACTGGAGGGCCTACTGTTTTCACAGAAGTTACACAGCTTGCATTTCCAGCAGAGCTGTCCTGTCTGAATGCTGGTCACAGACACAAGGTAATGGAAATCAGATGTTGATCAGACACTTTTCTTACCCTACTGCCTGGGAGACACTGGAGTTCAGCAAAATGTGGTAATTTGATTGTCTCAAACTCTCACTGCTTCTGTCAATTATACTTAGAAAGTAAAATCTATTTGCAGGTCTAAAGCCCACTGACTTCAGAAGGGCAGGGTAGGTAAGTGTTTAATGGTGTTGATTCAACTATTGGCTTTGCAGGGCTAAGTACAAGTCCCAAGTATTTCCACTCATTTTAGTGCTTCTTACTGCTCCAATACTTGATGACTAATCTAGTTAAAAACAGAACATGATCTTCAACTACTTTGTCATAAGTACTAAGCAGATTGTTTAAAAGATAGTGCTGGTGACAGATGTGCCATAAATAATTTTTATTTAAAAAATCTCCAAGCCCACCAAACAGAATTCCCCACCCCAAAATTAAAATTTCTTGTAAATCTTGGTAAAGTTCAAGTGATTGGAATTCAGTCAATGATTAATATTTTGTGTAGTTACTTCTTCATTTTCAATATCTTCTTGTGTAATAAATGTGTTCAGCTTGTCACAGATCTTATTTTATGTCCCCACCTTGTATCATTTCACATTCTGCTTAAGTACTTGGTCATCTATTACATGACTCATTAGTCTGAGATCTCTGCAGAATTAAAGAAAGTTGCAGTAAAAATAATATATTGAAGTTCAAATTTCAACTACATCAGCCATGCATGTTTAAAAGCATCTTTCAAAGTCAGCTCAACATACAATACTCTAAGATTAATATTCACTAAGCCCCATCTCTAGTCTTTCACAGAGAATTGGGAACAGACTGAACAAAGCTACATGTTTGCTAACTGTAAAATGAAAGTTGTGGAAGGATGAAATCAGAATTGATTAGTGTCACTTCATGATATTTTTCTGTCTGGCATTTAATTCCTGGTCACTAGGCAAAGGCAGTCTTGCCAAATAAAGATAATGAGAAATAAACATTCATGAGAGACTTAAAAAATTACAAAACAATCTAGGACTCTCCCAGCATGTTCAAGGAAGTAGAAAAATGGGTATGAGTTCAGAAAAGTCAAAGCATTATTCAAAGCAACTTTCATCCAGAAAAGTAAGTAAGAAAGAGAATTTGAATTTCCACCTATTAACATACCTTTGAGGATGTTACCAAACAGGATTAAGTTTCACAAGTAGGTAAGCAAAGTAAAAAAATCCTAATAATATACCTGTATCAGCTTAAAAAATAAATACAAATTATTCATTGAATAATGCAATTGATTATATTTAATCATAACTTGGCAATTATTCTGTCTTTGTCTGGGCCCTTTTGTTACACTGTAAAAATCTCAGAGGTATGAAACCAGAAACAATTCTTTTATTTCTGTGGTCAAATGCTATATAACACTGTGTGTCTGTGTGTCTAAGGATTTTTAAACATGGTTAAGAAGTTTTTGTCAAAATTTCTTGCTTCCTAGAGAAAATAGTTTTCTTTATTACTGTTTGAATGTTATTTCAACAGAAATATGACATCTTCTGTCTTGACAAGTATTTCAAAAACAAGCAAAATAGGTGATCCAAAAGAACCTCTAAAACTGAGACATCTCTGTTTCTTAATAAAGATCTTTGTGTACCAGACAAACACCTCCTTGTACTTTCCAGGGTTATTCAACCTCTTATGGTTCAGGGGAGAAAAAGGACCTGTAACTACTAGGCTGTTAGGATGCTGCATTGATTACACTGCTGGGGACCACGAGCTGATGCTGCATTTTGTTAGGCTCTGTACAAAAAGGGCATGTGGCAGCCCAGACTTCCTCGAGATTAAAATAAAAAATGTAACAAACTGGATCATTTCAAACTGGTGTTATTTAGAGGAGACACATAAAGCTAAAGCACCTGAGAATCATGGCCTGAATTTGCCAATAGAAGAGTCATTGCTGACAATTTCTTTTTAGTAATTGCTGGCTGTGCAAAAAATCCTCATGTTCATCCTTTATTCCTCCTCATTTCTTTATGACTAGAACCTTCTATTAAAGAAGTATGAGTATCTTTAAAGTAAACAGTGTATCACATTTTCACCAACATATTTCCCTACTAAGAAAATAAGATGGAACAACGGATTGTATTGTAATTTGATATAATCAATTGTAATCAGAAATAAAACATTGATCACTTTCACAGAATCACACTTTCCTGATAAAGAAACTGAAAACCTTTGTTTTCTAGTATTTTTAGAAGTGATTCATTACATTAATTAGCTGCCTGAAGATTAACATTTATTTGTACTTACCTCACACTTACCTTCTATCATTAAAGACATGCTAAAGTCACTCTATAATTACGTGTCTCTTGCTAAATCTTAAACCAGGATTATTTGCTTGTCTTAGAGGTATTTCTGCCTGGATATACATTCTAATTTCCTACTGATGTACAGCCTTCCTTTATTAGCTCACGAAAAATAATCAAAACCCTTCCTTTGAGCAAGCCGTGAGCAGGCACGGGGGAAGCACAGCACAGCCCACGCAGGGCTCTGCCTTGGGAGCTGCTGAGTACCCTTTGTTCCAGGGATTGCAGTGGGAGCTGAAGGTGATCAGCTGCTTTAGAGCACCAAATCCAGAGACTTTATCACAGTTCTAGTGCACACTGCAAGGGGATTAATTGTGGCTTTGGTGGGGATTCAAGGCTTCACATGCATTTTGCCTGTGACAATACTGGATGTACTCTGACAGGGATATGCAGCAGGGAGATGCTCATCTTTTTCAAAGTGTGTTAATAAGAAAGGACAAACCAGATTTCTGAATAAACTCGATTTTGCTGGCTGATTTGAACAGCCCTGACTTAATGTGTATGAGTAAGCTCTGTTAACATTACAACACTCACCTGATGCATAAAATCTAAAAAATGGACCTTGAAACCATATAAATTTGCTTAAGAGTTACATATAATTAAATGTTGCCACCTTGCAATTGAAAGGTAATGAAAGAGGAGTGTTGTCATACAGGGAAGAGTAATCAGAGAACTCAAGCCCGAGCCTGCTGCCCATGCTGGTCCCTCATAAAGGACTGGTTGTACTGCAGACATGAGTAAGCCTCATGAAGTGATCTGGCTTGATAGTTGGTTAAATCATTACCACTGACACATTTTTGTACATCCAGTTACATGTGAGTTCCTAAATAATGAAAGAAAATGACATGGTCTTTTCTTACCTCTTGGGCTGTTGAGAGAGGCCTCGGATGCCTTTCCACCATCCCCACAGTGACTTTGGTCAAAAGGAAGGCACTGATCACCTGTTCCTGCTACCACATCTGCATTTTTGGCCAGATCCTTTGTTTCAGTGAGGGATTTTGCTTTGTAGACTTTTCTGGTGTTGGTATCTGATAAGTAAAGGGATTCTGATACTGGATCAACGGCCAAGTAATATTTATGTGCAGGACTTGTACTAAAACAGAAGAGAAGAGCATTAGAGTCAACTTGTTTTTCCTTTTACATCTCTGTGGCAGCATAACAGTTGTACTCTACTTATCTGAAGACATCAGCTCAGTGATCTGAAGAGGACAGAGTCATGAGAGCAGCTCAAAACGCCACCAGTGTCCTGCTACAGAGCCTAACCAGTGAGTTATGGGTCAGGGAGCTGGGGCAGAGACTGGTACTGGGGCAGTACGTCTGCCCATCAGTACCAAAGCTCTCAGGATAAAGCTAACTGGAGTGACTTCAGCTTAGTTATAATTATTACTATCAAAAGAAAGATCATTTTTCTATATCTGATACATCATAGTACTCTTGACTCCGAAAACAAATCTATGAGTTGCAGCAAAGTGAATCACAGGCTGTTCTAGATGGGCACAAATACCTACTCTTTATTTTTATCTAAACCTTCCAAACCTTCGGAAATATGAAGGTGTGAAATATGGTGCCTTTATTCATGCTGACTCTATTGTCAGGAGCAAGGCAGAAGGCCAAGTACTGTCAGTGCAACTAGCATGAATTAATGCACCATAATTCATGCACTGTCACTGCCTTATTGAGATTATAAAATATTATTTTAAAAAATATTTACATATGTTAAATTAAATGGTGAGGATCATAAATTCTAATCTGAAAACTGGGCTGCATCTTATTATCCAGTAAGACTTTTAGTTTCTTTTTCAGTGCAAAGTTAATTTCCAGTCTGAAGAAATTTTTTAAGCACATGGCACACCATGCTAGTGTCCTGAGCCTGCTGAGCCTGCAGTGGGGCCTAACTAAAAATCCAGATAGAGATCCTTTAAATCACACAATTACTGAAATGGTGGGAGAGAAGCAAAGGCTGAGAGTTTAGGCGGTCAGATGCTATTTTTAACAGCTACCATGTTCCTCTAAGGGGGAGGAGGAGATTTCTGACAAGTGTCTGGGCTCTATATGCCCAGTTAGATAAAAATGACTGTAAAAAATACCTCAACTTCTTATTTTTCTTAGGAGATATGTTATTAATATTGGTACCATTAACTAACACTTAAGATTGCTGCAACGAAGTTGTGAAGTGAGTTTCTCCTCTCACCTAGGCCAGTTCTGTTTGTGGTGGTTTAACAACCTTCAGTGATATTCCCAGAGCTGGGGAACAGATGTGAAATCCAGTCCTGGGAACCACAGGGAAGTGGTATGATGAAAGATGAGTACGAGGATGAGCTAAAAGCAATTAATGCCAAAGTATCACCACTATAAAATTTTTTTGTTGAAAATATCAAGAAATCATTTTTGCTCTCTGGATTGAGGTCAGGAGTAACTGGATAGCCAAATGATGACTTTTAAATAAAACATTTCAGTGAAAAAAGTTGCAAGGAGAATTCTATATTTTAAATAAACATGTTGTTCAGTATGCAGAAACTGCAGAGAACCAGGGGTCACTCTATATTCTCCTTGTAGACACATTTTCTGTCATCCTTGTCATTACATTTAATAGACCAGCTGTTAGAAAACTTTTCATGTTTATGCTTAAAGCCTTGCATACTAAAATGCTTAGAGTACTAGTAAAAAATGGAACACAATTAAAAAAACTTACTATTTTTGCAGAAGATTGTAATCAGAGATTAATCTGAGTTGATTTAAATTAGCCCTTTGAAAACTATATGAAATAGACTCTATTTTAAAATTAATCTTTTCAGCACTATTCTGTACTAAATTTTTCTTTGTATTTTTCTCGAAGTTTAGTTCCCATTTTTACCAGTTAAACAGCTTTGTTATAGCTTATTAAAACTATGATGAGAAAAACAAATGGGATAAGGTGTTTGTAAACAGCCAAAAATAAGATCAGTGCCTTTTTCTGTTTACTGGTTGCCAAACTCTCCCTTTTTACACAGTATTGTCATTTTTATGTGGTAAAAAGAACTCTTTTGGAGCCTAAAAGTTGTGTAAAGGAGCTGGATTTTGAAGCCCTTTCCTACCTGGACTGTCTGGAGCCATCTTTTACCTGCTGCTTTCTTTGAGCATTCATTCTATAGATTTCCACCATCACTATGACCTTTAAAGCCTCAAGGGAATGGCACACAGTGGGATTGTTGACTACTCTCATATCACCTCAAGGACTACATTAACTGATTTCCTCCAATTTTCTACAAAATTCATTTGGACAGAATAGTGACAGAGACATTATAATTGAAAATAATAGGGCTGGGGTACTTGAATATTGTCATGGGGTACATGAATATTGTCAACTTCAAGGCTGAAGCACATCTCAAGAAACTAGTACTAGGGAACAGGTATTAAAAAGAAAAAATCTACTCTACAAAAGAAACCTCTAAGTGTAAAAGCTATTTTATGTTTTGAATGCATTATAGAGAAATTCAGTTTAAAAAGATACTGGTCAGTTTACAGGAAATGGAAACAACCCTTCTGTTAGAAAATGGAACCTTGCACTTACCAACTAGGAATTTTTCTTCCTTTTTAAGTTTAAATTCTAAAATATATGAGATGTGACATAATCTGGTAAATAATTTATAATATTCAATAGCAGTCCTGTGACAAAAGTGAGCAATTCCAACCCATACCCTCATACTGTAAACACAGTTCAGTCCACACTCTGCTCCCTACTATGCCATGAAGTTACTGTCTTATCTTGTACTAGTGCCAGTTTATTTATCTCATTTAAGTACTGGAACGCTAAGAAGTTTATTTCTAAGGAGACAGAGTGCCTTGCTGTCTCTCTCTAGCATGCAACATCACTTCTGCAGCTGGATTGTTGGAGCCAATTCCCTCAGCATCTGTCACAGAAGCCTAATGTGCAATGTTCATTCCTTTAAAGAAATCTAAATTGCAATGCTAAAATGCCAGCTGGAAAGGGGAAAAGCCACTTGCTTTGTCTCTAACAGGAGCAGCAAGAAATGAGCTTTGACACAGCATCTTCAGTTCTGGGCTCTGCCGTGCACTTTATAACTGTCAGGTTTTAAAGCCCATGGTAACCTGGAACCTCTAAAGCACTAAAGTACAATGTGTTTCTGTAGCCTTTTAAACTGTATTTTTGTAAAACTACTGTTTCCTTGGATGGCTATATCTGTGATCAGTCAAACACCATGTGAAATGGGTATGACAGCTATGAAATGTACTCTGTGTTGAGGTTTAAAACTCTCCATCTCTTCTTGGTGATCAGCAAACTGATTTTTAGAGGGAGACTTTACTCCTTCAATGGGAACAAATCTGTAAACTTTCTGTACTATAAGAAAAGGTGAATTGGATTAACATTTGTATTTATTACCCTTTAAATTTATCAAATTCAGAGTGTTTCTCTATATCCAGACTTCTAAAAGGACTTTTGTAAGACTGTCTCCTCAAACGTGGTTCACATACCAGTTATTACATTTTACTTACCTGTGTCTTGTGTCTCTATTCCTGGAAAGGCAGATTAGTTGAGGTTTAGAAGGAAAGAAAAAGAGATGTTAGTCCTCAACATAACTGTGTTCTTTATCTGACTGCTCATAGACCTGTATCCCACTAATTAAACATTGTTTATCCTCTTACTTGGTATTTCTTTCTCTCAAACTGTTTCCTTTGCAATGTCCACACACTGCCAAGTTAATTCTGAAGAATCAGCACACAGAATAATCACCAGCAATGTTAGCTAGGTGGATGTTAAATAAGAGAAATTTCATGTATTAATGTCCAAAATCTTCCCTGCCTTCCCCTGTGTCCCTCAAAGGAAATGGGAAGTTGGGGTGGTAATAACAGGGGAGTCATTAAGGGCAGCACAGGCTCAGCCTCTCACACATCTGTGACGCCCCTGTCTGCTTAAACTGAGCCACATCCTCTGCTGCATGAGGAACAGTGTAATAGTATTAACTGTAAACATGGTAAGTCTATAGGCCCAGTGTTGTAACTTGACATGATACTCTGCATGTTTGCTGTGGAATTATTCAGCTTTTTTCAAAAATATGCATCATAGTATATTTTACTTTAGGAGAAAATGCATGGAAAACCTCACAGAAAGAAAAATCAGCTTTATTAATTCTGCAATTTGCAGAAGTTCATTATACAAGGCCTGTTCTAAAGGCCACTTAAAACATCCTATTAAACTGATGACTGTAAGTAAGTTTTCTGGTAAGTTGGTTTGATAGCTGATGACACACATGACCACAGAGTAACCACATGCGGTTTTTTCACCAAGTCCCAAGGGATAAAATCTCACCCTAGTTTTCACAGGCATATCTCAGCCAGAATTATACACACTACTCAGAGAAAGCCAATTATTTTTTTACCTTAATTCTAATATGCCAATCGTATTTCCAGAGGGAAAGATCCGTCTGACATAATTGAAGTCCCCAATATAGACACTTCCATCAGGCCCAGAAGCGAGTGCAACTGGGGCAAAGAGTTTGCTGTTGAGGGCGAGCCCATTGCAGTTGGAGCAAGAGACACTCCTCTGGTGTCCATTGCCCATCACAGTGGAGATGACTGGAGGCTGCTGGGAAATGAACATGTTTTCCCCGTTTCCTTTGTGCACAATTCCTAAAGGAAGGGGAGGGAAACAAACAGAGACAAAATAAGCAAATGTATGACATTTAAACTATTCTGCAGTTTTGGATTACAATATCCTCTATAAAATCAGATTACCAAAATAGCAAAAACCATCTGATATTTTAGACTGATACAGGGTTCCACTAATCTTTTTCAATTTTGATCATTTCAAGTTTCACTGTCATGATTTTGTTCATCACTGGCTAGCGGCTATTTTAAAGCCAACATCAGGAGGAGAACTCATTGTTGGCTAATGCTCTAACAAATTGACTGCTAATTGCAGTACTATCTGATTTCTTGGGGATTACTGCTTTAATATTCATTTTATTCATAAATTTTTATTAGGTAGCAGAAGCATTTCTTAGGCAGTTTGAATATTTAATTAAAGGAGATTAATAGCAGGACCACTATGCATTTTTCACAAAAGAGCACCGAGTGGCAGTACAAAATCAATATTCAAATTCAACTGTGAGTCCTTCATGGTATATGAAAAAGGTGCCAAGTGCAGCAAAACCAAGTTAAGAGTCAAGGAGCAATTGTGAGGCACCAGTGAACATCCTCCCAGCAATAACAGCCTACCTTCTGCCATAAAGGCTGAAACAATGTATTCTAGTAAAGCTCTTCAGCATATATTATTCAAAGTCTCAACTAGGTTGGTGATACCAGAACTAGTACAAAGATGTATTTTCTCAAGTTGACAGCTATAGTGTTTATTTAAGTAACAATATGGTAATATATTTAAAAAGTATCTTTGAAATGACGTTATTGCAAGAATTTGGCTACTGCAAACAGAAGATAGGTACACTTTTAGATCATAGTCCAAATTTTCTTATTTCCCTTGAAAGGGCCCAGTACTTCATCAGCAAATTGGCACTATTAAAGGAACAAACACAAGGGAATTCACTTTCTGGAGGACTCATGCTGGGAAATGAGAATATTCTAGACACTGCAAGAAGTACATGTTGAGACATGTCTGAGTTTTCACCAAAGTAGAGCAAATGCATTTATGTATTGACTCTATGGACTTTTGTTTAAAACGTTTTTTTGTGACTTTCAGGTAAATGTGAAGATAAAATTCACCTTGGTAATTACTGAATGTTACCACAGCTATTTTGAAGGGAATTATATTTAAAAAAAATAAATATTTATGAACAATAGAGGACATAATGTATAGATTTGTCTGAATGATGTCTTTAAAAAAAAAAGCATCCTGGAAATATGCCTGTAAAATAAATGGCAATATTCTCTCTTATGCAGTGGAGAAAAATACTATAAAATGAAGATGCTGCCCTTTGTCTGAAATTACAATGTTAAGGTAATCTTTCAACATCCTCTTACAAATGCCAGTAAATAATTAGGGCTCTGGAGAATATGTTTTGCTGTCAATAAATGTAAGTGTGTGCTTAATATCAGGCTTTCAAGCTGCTGCTTGAAATGAAATTTAGTTGATTAATGCTTTGTTGCACTGGGGTTGAAATTACCTTAAAGCATAAAGTCCCTCTAAAACTACTCCTCCTTGCCCCAGATAAATAAAAATGGAATCAGTGCACTTGCCCATCAGAAAAAAAAATTAATTCAAATAACAACCTGAAAAATTGATTAATAGCACATTCATTTGTATTCATGAGATACAGGTGTCTTTAAAAGACCTCAGTGTAGGAACTAATATTTATGGTATCTGTTCTCTTCTTGATTATGAGAAATGCCCTGATGATCTTCCAAACTGACAAAAACCTTTGTACCAGAACACATTAAACTCTAATCATGT